TTTCCTCAACCGGTTAACCGAAAATTATTCAGTTCGGGTCGATTAACCGATTATAGCCCAACCGATTCAAATCACTAATTATAATAGCCACTGTAATTTACCATTTGTGATATCTGTTCCCATAACCTAATAATTATGATATAATGATATGTCAAAGCAATGCAGATAATTTATGCAAGCTTATAATATGAAAATGATGCATACCCTTTCAAGTATATGACTTCCACCTATCAAATAATTAATCAATTTACAATATTTTAATATTAAATTAATTTTTTTTTCGTAAAAGCAAAAAAAAAAAAATTAAACCTGGATGTGAATTAATCCACTTGCGAATATCTATTATAAATCCATCACAAATAACAAGATAAGCCTAAATTAAAAGAATTAATGAATCAGCAATATATTTCTATGAATGTACTCAACTATCTAAATATTCTAAATAATTCAACTTACACCATATTGAACTCGTTCGTTAAATTCTTCCCACGTATATTGAGGTAGTTTATTGTAATCATCATGACTAATGTGAGCAAGCAGCATAGTTCTTTTTTCATCTTCGTCCTCAGTTTTATGGATTCGTCTAAAAAGTTCGAAATGCCACCAAAGTTCACCCAATACAAAGTAAAGAACTAGTATAAATATCCAGCAAAGATAACCAACCGTCCACCATGTCGTGTTACTATATAAAATGTCACAAATATGAGATTAGTCCTATAATTGTGAATACAAAGTTGATTACTGGAATAACTGTACGTATACATACTAGCCATAAGAGAGACCGAAAGTATTAATTCCTAAATGTGCGTATATATTAATGTTAAATACACAACATGATCATGATTAATTATTTATAATTATATACAAATTACTCACCTAAATATATGTTGACCCTATATATACAATTAAAATTTTTTAGCGAATAAACAGCAATTGTGATGATCCAGGTTTCTATCAATACATTGAATGTCTTACCATGCTGCAAGTAATAGAGTACCACCGAATATTTGATGAAAACGTTTCGTAAATCTTGGATATCCCTATAATATAATTTAAGTAAATATATTATGTATAATGATTAAATTTTTTTAAAAAATATATATTGACAAACCTTATTAACAGATACAACAGCAGTTTGTCCCCACATAGCGATTAAGCCGAAAGCTAAAAACAATCATAATAATAATAAATTTAATGTAGATATAATATATAAATATAATTAATTATGTGTACAGTACGTACCTGTCTCAATAAATGATGCAACATATACACACAATCCTAGCCTAATTTTTATAATAATGATAATAAAATTAACAATTAAGATGTGACATTAAATACAAGGTTTATTAGGAGTGAAAATGTTTATACCAGGCATGTGGTGTTTGTACAGATACTACTGTGGATATAGCAGCAGCTCCAAACGTTGATATTGAAATACTGCCAACCACCTGAATGAATCGGTGATATTTAAGGTGCATATGATGGTGCTATATATAATATATAATATAAATATATAAAATAAACCTATTTTAGATTCATGATGGTCACGATAAATATATATATATATATTTATTGATTAGAAGCTTACTTTATAATATCGAACAAAGAATATTGATCCTGGGAATATAACGCTGATAATTGTTTAATTCTATAAGAATTATTGTGATAATATGCTATATAAGCACATGGATAAAGCAATAACCAACTTACCACCACGTAATAAACATTCCTCCACCATGGACAGCACGAGTAATCATTTGGAGGTTATTTGCGGTTGAAGAAGAGAGTTGACCGCTATAAAAGTCAATTAGCTGCAAAACACGATTATTTTGATGGTAAGATAATATATTACTGTTTGGATTGTATGCCATGACAACTTTACATATAAAGAATATAATGAATTAGATCTTAGAGTAAATATACAAAATCAAAATATATAAATTAAATATTCTTATACATTTAGTTAGACCGCGTGAAATTGGCTTTCTTCCCACTGCTTTAGGAGAAAGTGCTCTTTTGAACGTTATGATTGCAACATCATTAACAAACGAATACGATAATGAAGATTTGAGTTCTGGATCTTGATTAGGATCAAGTGTGGGAGGATGGTAACCACCATAAACTGCAATATAATTTCCTAATGAAACATTATTTCCATTTGAAACCTTTAAAGAAATATGTTTAATAATAAATATAAATCTAGATCATTCAGGATTGCATATTATTATATACATTTTAATTTAGCTTATTTAACTTATATAACTTACAAATCCAATAATAAAATCTGCATTTGTCATTCCATTATCACTTGGATTAAATCCCTATACGCAGCAAACATTTACAAAAATTGTAAAAATAAATATTATTATTAATAAAAACAAATATAATACAGTAATATATAATACGTATTATCTTACCATTCCAAACCACCCGTTGCCATTGGAAGTCTGTATTTGAACTTTGAAATATATATAGTACCGATCGACATTGTAACTCACTATATATTGAGGCCAATTCTTAATCGAATTTGGATATGAAATATCTCCTTGACTGCTGTCAAATCTAAATAGAGGTTGGACACTCCAAATATTTTGTGGGAAACCAGCGAAATTTATATTACGAATAATAATGTCCCTAAAAGTTGTATTTCGTAATATTTTTCGTTCTTCTTCATTAAACATGATTTCATTTTCATACCAAAATCTATCTGAATCCCGAATGTTTGTAAACTTTTATATAATTTTTTTAAAATATCGATATCGTAAGTAAATTTTCGTAACATATAATAAAAAATTGTTCAAGAATATAAAATAAGCATACTTGTGTTACAATGCTCGCATTCATGGTCATACCGAAGTTAGAACCATCCAAATGAGGTTCACACATAGCACCAACCAACGCCTCTACTTTATCAACTAAAAACAATAAATATAATATATTAATTTAATATTAATGTTATTATTATTATAATTAGTGTTACGCAATAATTAAATCCATATCACATCATATATTAATACCATTAGGATATAGCTTTGCTAAATTTGCTTGAACATCAGGACGATTGGAAATATCAGAAAATGATTGAGCCTGTGGCAAATTAAAAAATTGCCTCACTTTATTGTATAAAGGAATGCCTATGATAACAATGATAACAATGACAACAATGACAACAATGATAACAATTTTAATAAAACGAATGTTATTAAAAAAATTTTCAAGGTAAAATTTTAAATGATGTACAGTTAAATAGATAGCATACCGCGATCCCTAGACCTTATCAAATCGAAAGCTGATAGATCATAAGTGACTTGATCAGGGCCGATTGCTTTTTTGGTTGAGTTTGAAAAAAAATTATCTACATCTTCCTGACGTTGAAGGACCATCGACAATAATACCTTTTCCAATCCAAAATTTTCCAAGAGTGTAAGGTCTTTAATATCGTTCAAAGCAACATTAATAAGGACATCGCCATGATCGTCTCGGATTTGATAAAGATCACTATATATTGCAAAAAAAAAACTGTTAAGAACCTGTTTACAACTTAAAAAAAAATATATAATAATTAAGGAAATATGATATTGATATTGACCTTAATTCACTATGTCCGTAACGAAATGTAACCGTTGCGAAAAACGTATCTATCCCTACAAATAGACAAATAGCATTTTAATGATATTTAGTGCTAAAAATTATGACCGGAGAACTTTAAAATCAAAAAAGAAAATGATTAAAACCAGGTTTAAGATTGGGATTATAATTTTCGTATGCAGGCAAAGGACGACCAATAATAGCCCCAATATATTCTTCTGCAACCGCTTTTTGATAAAAAGCGGTAGTCCAACGTCTCTAAATATTTCGAAAATTTTTTGAATATTTTTTACTGTTCATACTCAATTAGATTTTACACAATATGGATGAATTTCATAGGATTACTCACAGCTTCCTGAAAATATTGATCATCCGTCCAAGAATCTTGATAAATTTGATATAATTGATCACACATACGGTTATGCTCTCGTAACCAGATTGTATGGATGGCTAAAGTGAATATATTGCGAGAACGCGTGGAAGTAGCACCCAAGTCATAATCACCAGAGGGAGTTTTTGGTGGATATTGATCACCGTTACTAGCAATTGATACCTTTAATTTTCCACGTTTACTCGAAGTGTCACGATACTTATTCAACATTAAAGTATCATTACTACTATAGATATTATTTAAATCAAGAAAAGGAGTAACCAAATTTATTCCACTAGTAAGAGGATTTGTACCGTCATTACCAGCTGATCTATTGGCAGGTAGAAAATTTACATCGATTTGAGGAGAATTTGGAGATGAACCATTTAGAACATAAAAGGGATCATCAGCAGGTAAAAACATTGGATAAGTATTCAAGGTGTTTTTTGATGCCGTAATGTCGAATGAAACAAATTGAGCAAAAAAGGTAGCCTAAGCCAAGAATAAGAAGGTAAGACATATAAAGAGATTCAATAAATGAAATGATCCAATTGAAAGGCATGAGATAATAATCAAATATTTTACCAAGTGACTTGTCGACCTATTTGAACGATGGCTCGTAATTGTATTTAAATCATTTTGCTGCACACCATACATACACAATATATTAGAATAACAACGAGGCATCGGATATGATCCATTAGGTAATGGATCAGTGCATTTAATAGTCGCTTTGGTTTGTGTAGTTATATTTGTACCATAGAGTAAATCGGTTGGGGAATTTACAGGAGAACCGTCAGCACTAAATTATAGTAATATTATGAATTAATGGTTATTTATGATTATCTGGAAAAGAAACTATAATATAGTTACTTGTAGTTTGTTTCTTTATTTTCTCTCAGAAAAGGTTGATTCGGTGTTCCAGCAGTTGAATATATTAAATTATTGTCACTACCATCTATAAAACGATCACTATTTGCCGGCGAAAAGAGTAATAAGGAATTTATAAAAATAATTAAGAGTGACCAAAAATATGTATAAGACGGCATTTTCACACTTAATTTACACTTATTGAATAAGTGAAACTACTGTACATGAGAAAAGGTTGGATCAAATACAGATACGTACGAAAACTATGTGCATACATATAAGTTAGCAACGTTTTTATTAATAATTGAAAGCATGCATTTGTTTGTTTATGTTTATAATTATTTGAATTTTATTTTAGTTATTCGTTATATCATTTAATTATATTTTGTTTTGATCTGTATTACCGTTAAGCGTGACGCAATAATTATTCGATGTCTTAAATTGGGGATCGTGTGCGCTTAATATATTGATCGGCATACTGAATAATTACGTATCAACAGTACAGCAGTACGTGTCGGTATCAAAAATTGACATTCATTTAAAATATAACATTCCTTATTGGGGGATCTACCAATCCAAATAAGGTAATATTGGTCACTTTCAATTAATTCATTACATAAGAAAAGTTACGACTTGGTCTATTTCGGCATACTTTTAGATAATTGATATTAAGTGCACTCAGCGACTAGATATTTTCTTTAGATATCTTATTCATCCTTAGGTATTTTTAATACTTTATTTATTTGTGTCAATATCTTGCATGCACTAATACGTAAAACTTCGTACAAACGTAGCAACCGTATTTATTATTCTGTGCTAGGTTATGCGAACATGTGGCGCAGGAAAAATTTTTTAAAGTTTATTAATGTTTAGGGTTAGTTTTAGAATAAGGTTAGAGGTTAGGTAATTACGTAGGTAGTTATATAGTAAAAACATTTTGTTAGAACACTAAAGGTGGTTTTTATGCAGACTTTTGAGAAATAACGAACGATTTTTTTGAGATTTCATGATCAGATTCCTTGCTGTGACGCTTCATTAGATCGATTCATGTTACGTTACACCTGATCTTGAAAACTGATTTGTGGTTCGGGAAATCTGCGCCACATGATGGCACAGAAAACCTAATTTTAGGTGTTTTTTCTTTAATATCAACAAAAGATGTAAACTAAAAATTGACTTCATTAATAGAAAACATTATTGCATCACTATTATCATTTCTAATATACGCTCTACCCTCACTATAACGGTGTTACCTTCGTAACTGTTCTGCGCCTAAAATTTAATTTCTCTTTATCATCTTTTCCTTACTATCTTCTACTAGTATCATTTTTCTTCTTAGGCCGTTTGAATTTAAAAATTCGTTTAACGTTTCCCCCCCCCCCTACCACTGGAGCTCCCCTCGACATTAAACAAGCTAATAGAAAACGAG